AGAAACAACTTAAAGTTTCATCTTAAAGACACCTTCACTCGCTGAGCTGCGGAAATGGCAGCATCTCGGCAAATGTTGGGACCCAAACTCATATCGGTGTGGGAGATGCACACGAAGCCCTGAAACTAGTTGGCACAAGTTTATGGCTAAACAAATTCGAGAGCTCGAGAGAGAAGTGAAACTCAATTTTTGCACAACAATGCGTCCATAATTACTGTGGATAGTCAACAGGCAAACGAAATCGAATCAAATCAGAAACTTTAAATCTTGGGGGCTAAGTCGGACAGCAGCTGCAGCTAAACAGTGTCCCTTGGCCGCCCCCTACCCCTCCCCATCCCCCCCTTAATCGTCTCGTTGGCGGACACGGGCTCATTCAATCGTCAGTTCCAGCAATTACACGCATTTTGCGCAATTTAAACCAAATGCTAACGACAGCTAACAACCAGCCGGCAACCGACAACCGACAACCAACAACCAACAAGCAACAGCCAACAGGCAACAGCCAACAACCTTTGCGCTGCACCTTCGACCAGCTGAAGCAAACAGGCGGGCAGGAGTTGGGTCAGCAGCAGCCGTAGCAGCAGGCAGGACCAGCCAGGCGTTTGATGAACAAAAAGTAGCATACTGTAAATCAAAAAGTAACTTGCCGTACGGATGTCATTCGTTGCAGATCGTTCGAGCGCAAAATTTAACAATGACACAAACACAAACTTTGGCCCAGCACCAGTAACAAAAGCAACAGCAACAACAACAACAACAACAACAACAGCAATGGGCTGCGTAGAACATCATGATGACACACGCACACACACAAGAGATAATACCTTATAGCACACACCTACAACATGCGCAGAGTTGGGCATTGACTTTGGCTCTTGGCATAGGGGCAAAAGTTGCTCATGCAGAAGCTGTCATGTCCAGCACTCAAATTTCTAATGCTGGCCCAAAGGGCTGTGCGGGCGGTTGTTGGCATGTGTGTGCGGTGCGTGTGTGTGTATGTGTGTGCGGTGCGTGTGTTCAGGCAACACTTAAAAGTCACACGGGCGTGGCAAGTTAAATGAAATGCACATTGATGTGGCATTTGTGTATCGTTTCAGCAGCCGCTGCAAGTGACAGAGTCAAGGGGCGGCGCAGGAGGCGAATGTAGCCATGTGGCAGACAGGTAGATCACTGCCACTGACGCCAAGTGAGATAAATGCAAGCTAAATCAACAAGGCACAAGCAGGAATAGAGCTATCGGGTATATTGGATTGCCTAATGCATGCTATAGAGAGACTTGCGAGTATAATAATCGCAAATTTATATCACAACTCTCTACTTTACAACAAATATACCCTAAATCCCATGGTGCAGGAGAGTAAACGGCGCGCAACCTGTGGCAGCACACGACAGCTGCAGCTGGTGCCTGGTCTCTGCCTGGCAAGCAAAGACACTGCCACAGGCAACTTCGGCCAAAAAAAAGTTCAATCAATAACCTTAACGTTAACATTGTCAGCACAAACATACAATAAACTAGGAGCGAAAGGACTTCATGTCAAGCCGAACTCTGAATGCGCTAACTCACTCTTTGGTACTTCAAATAAAAGAAAGAGAAACGGGGAAACTAATAAGAAATTCTGTAAAATTGTATATAAATGCTGTATAATATTTTAATATTTATTTTAATTTAATCATAATATTTAATAATATTTGACAATGCATTGTAAACGTATTAATTTTATTAAATACATCGTATGCAGCGGAAATCTTCAGAGTATATTTTCAACTAAATGTTTATAAAAAAACGTGAATTTTCTTTAAAATATTATATATATTAGGAGGTTTTGTGTTCATCAATTGTGTCTTTGAAATACAAAATATTACTAATATATTTAATTGATTATAATATAATAAAAATAATAAAAATATATACATATAAATATAATACAATATAAATGTTTTATTGTTATTACTTCTAATTAATTTATTTTTATAAACTGTTATTTTAATAAATAAATGATAAATATCATTAAAATATATTTTTTAAATACTTAGCATTTACATTATATACATATATCAATTATACAAATAATATACTTGTATTATTTCAAAAATTATTTGAATTCATATATTTATTATATTATATATAATATTATATTACATAGCTATTATATTAAATATTATAATATAAAAAAATTTGTAATATATGAATCTAGTATTTATTATATAAAATATTTTCCAGTCTGTTTGACTATGAGCAACTGAGAACATTATAAATTAAAAGAGAACTTGGCTATTTACCACATATCATCTCTAAAAAATAATTCGTAATATCTCATTCATTCATGCTTATGGAGCCACATAGCTGCAAAACCCTAAGCGAAAGGGTGTGACAAAATGTTGCAACTCTTTGGCGCGCAATTTCAATAAATTGTGCTGCCTGTTGACAAGCCGCAAAGTATGCTTTAAAAATGGCTTAGCTACCGACTCGCGCACTCTGCGTGTGTACGAGTGTGTGTGTGTGTGAGTGTGTGTGTGTGTGAGTGTAGACGAGGACAGAGCAAGGCAAGGCAAGGCAAACGCGATTTTTATCGCAATTCAATAGAGTTTCCGTAACATTAGGCCACGGGCTTTGTCTTGGTGCGGAACTAACAGCGCCATATTTGTATCCGTTCGACGTGTCAACGTGTATTGCTTCCGTTTGTTGTTTGTTATTGGTTTCGCCTGTGCAGCAGCAGCAGCAGCAGCAGCAGCGGCAGCAGCAGCCGGTGCACCTTGCCAAGGATGCCAGACAGGCACTCACACTCAAACACTCACACACACGCGCACACGTATAGAGATTGGTGACAAGCATTTGGGTTAAGGGCGTTATTGAAATTTTATGTTGTCTGCGATTTGCGTGAAGTGGATTTGCGTATTTGCTGCTGATTTATGGCCTGTCGTTTGTAGCGAGAGTTCACTTTAAGCAGCACTTTAAAGCATTCGCAGCTAATTACGCACCACAAATAATATTTTCGTTATTCTGCCAACCCCTCGGTGGCTGGGCACTGGGGCGCCGTCAAAGGGTTGGTTTATCTTTGGTCTGGCATTAAAAACTTTTCGCTGGCTTTATTTTTCTTTGAGCTCAGAAATTGAATTAACGGGCGCGCCCTGCTGAGATGTCAATTTGGCTGACAGTGGCTGATAGGTAACGGAATCTGGCATTCACCTTGAGACAGCTCATTAGAATTCCGTTTTGACTTGCAAGTTGTTTGTCGTTTGTTTACCTTGAAATTACGAATGCAAAAAATAAACCCAGCAGCTGGAAGAGGACGTACTACAGATGCTACTCCTGCCACTGCTGCTACTATTTGGGGGCAGCTCTCGAAGATGCAACGTTAAGTGTCTGTCAGGCAGCTGAATTATTTATGGCACTTGCCGCAGCACAACAGCAACAGCAATGGCAACGGCAACGGCAACGGCGGCAACAGATTACAAGATTAAATTATTGTAACAAGCGCATTACGTAACTGCTTTGCATAATTTACCGCCACGAAAGGCCACAGCTCTCCTCCGAATGAGAGAAAAGAAAGACAACATTCATCTTGAGCTTAAACAGCACTGGGAGCGTGCAAAAGTCGCCAGCCAAAACACACAGGCGATAGGTAAGGCGACGTAGGTGACACCGATAGAGTCACGGGGTCGTCCCACCGGGCGAATGCGCAACATTTTTGCTTGCCACAATTTGTCACTGTGCCTCTGCATCGGCGTCTTGGCTGTCTGTCCCTCACCGCTGTCTAATTTGCATTTTAATTTAATTTTTTCCATACCGCAAAATGTCAACAAAACACCGCAGACGCTCGCCGAGTCAGTTGCAGACGTTGCCAACTTCTTGCAGCCAGGTCCCCCTCCAAAAAAAAAAGTGGGCCTGCTGAGGCTAGGTCTTCTGTTTGTTTGTCTACAGTTTTTCTGAGCGCACTTTTAATTGAGTCTTGCATATGCATGAGCAGCAGCAGCAGCACCAACAACTCAATTAAAGCGATTGCCGCGCCTGAACATCAACTTCAAGTTCCACTTTAACCTCGACATTCGTCTTTGACGGCCTGAGCCTTGAGCTGCTGACAAAATCAATGCGAACGCGACATTGAGCTGAATGCCCGAATCGTAAAACTTTCATCGATTGCTCGCACATAAAATGACGATATTGTCTGCGGCATAAAATTATGACAGCCAACCGCAGCTAAAAGTGGCACACGCGACTACCGAATCCTCTGTAAATAGCTGTGAAAGCCTAAAAAGTACTTTTGAAATATACCTAATCCTATATGAATGAAGAAATCGAGAGGATAACACATAAGATGGTATTTTTTGAGAGCAATTAGTAGGAGAAAAGAAGTGTGCATTAAGAGGAAAGTCTATGGACTGCAAAGCTATAGATATAAAATCCATATATGAAAAGTCTACAGATGTCTGAATCTATAGATGAAACGTCAATAGATATCTCAAATCTATAGATGGAAAATCTATAAATGGGCAGTCAATATATTGAACATCAATAGAAGGAATGTTTGTAGATAAGAAATTTGGAAATCTAGATGGAAATCTAAAGAAAGAACAAGAGGACATCTTAACGGGAAAAAAGTGTGCAAATGATAAATCAATAGTTCCATCTATTCTATAAGTGTGAAAGTCTATAGATACAAAGTCTATACATAAAAAGTCTATAAATGAAATCTCTGTAGATGGAAAGCCTATAGATGGGAAGTCTGTGGGAAGATAGGAAGTCCTTAGATTGTATAGGTTAGATGGAAGATATCTCTATAGATATAATTCCTGTAAATGGAAATCCTATAGATAGTATGTGTTATATGGAATATATATAGATAGAATATCTTTAAAGAATCAATCTTCAAAATCAGTTCAATGTATTTAAGAACCTACCTCATCCAGTATACCCATTTTCGACCACTTACAGGGCATTAGCACTTTGAATTGCCATAAAATGCCGTGCGGTAGACAAAAGAAATGCGGCGACCTTTGAGTAAACACAAAACCCAAATTTATGACGGCAACTTGTTGTGGCTAGCCGCACCACCGCGCCCCACCACAACTGAGAGATACATATTGCATAATATTATAATGCTGTACGAGCTGGGCAACATGAGAGTGCTCTGCAAGACTTATGGCAGCCAGCTTTCATTCTCCAGCTTTGCTGTTATAAATTCTAAAAAAAAGAAGCAAAAAATAACTGTCAGGCTAACCAATCGTGCAACCGTTATTACCTGTTGGCTGCGCCTTCTGGCCATGGCCATTGCAATGGTCGCGCTTCCGCTCAGGAGTGGAAACGTTACGGCTCATAATTCGCTGAATTTATGAACTGTAACCGAGCGTCTAGTCCTGACAAAGAGCAGCGAGCAGACAGCGAATGGGTATTACCATACCAGAGAGACAGAGAGAGCCTGAGAGGTTAAGTGTGGATATCAAATTGAAATGAATACATTGAAATGCGATTACAGATTGAGCAGACGTATTAAACTTATCGATAGAGCTAGCTAGTTGCTGCTGTCAGATCTTTGCCGATATATATCGCACGCATGTGAGAGCATAAATAATTAGATTTCATATAAAAGAAGTTTCATCTGACAAGCAAAGCCAGAAACCAGACCAGTGAGCGCAGTTCCGACGACTCAATTCGAATCAAGGTAAGCAGAGCTTTCTCATCTCACAGATTTGCTGACTCGATTGTTATGTTAATTTCTTTCATTTGGTAAGTGACAAAGCGCCCTTTAAATACACCTCAATGCGGCAGGGCACGTACCTTGTTTGAGTTCACGTCGCTCCGTCGGCGCTTGCCTAATTTGAAGACGAGAACAAGTTAATCTGCTCAATGAGATAAATACCTTTTGTGGCCGCCCCACCTGCCGCCCTCCCGCACGGTGGATAGCTGTTAACTGTTATCGAGGCACTTGGCACGCTCCCGAATTGCCACTTCAAGCAAATTGCGCAGACGAGGCGCAAGCCTTGGCAACTTTGGCACGCAATGTCAAAGTGAGTTAACGACAATGAGCTTTATTACCTGACAGGCGCCCACCCGCACTCCCCCTCTCTCAGTTGGCCCCTCGCAGTTAATGTATTAATTTGAATTATTTTTCATTCCGCCTGCCGGCTGGCTGCAAATATGTTTGACATGCCAAATTTAGTGGAAAATTGTCGCATGTCATTGGGCAAATATGCAAGTGAAATTGTACGTGACTCCATTGCCAAAATACAAATAGAAAATTCGGCAGGTCCTGCCAGTTGCCAGTTGCCAGTTGCCAGATGCCAGGAGCGGGTGGACAATGCGACAAATTGGCCAGCAGCAGTGCCCCCATCACTCGATCTGCCCTTCCGCCATTCGCCATTCGCCATCTGACCCCTGCTGCAGACACCGTTGCGTTTTTCATTTTTCTTTCAAGGCTGCAGAAATTTAAAAAACAAATCACACACCTACAAGCAAGCACTCTAGCCCGCAAGACAAATTTCCGACATATACTACGTTTTGGGTCGGAAGTGCACAAAACGTTGACGGCGTCTCAAAGGACAGGAGAAATATATATATATATATATAAGGAGGAAGAGAGTGGGCGAGTATGAGTGTGTGTGTGTGTGTGGGGGTGAGTGCCCGCCGGTAATGGAGTGGACTTTATTTGTGTGTTGCTCCTGCTGCTGCTGCAACGCATCAGTGGACCGCTGCTGCCGGCTGGCACCTTGTGATGGCACGCTCCAGCAGCGCCGACGACCGTCACATTTGTCAGCCTGTACAGGGCGTCCTGCCATGTGCAGTGCATACCAATGCGCGCAGTTCAGCTAACAATGGAATGCTCACATACCCTGTAAGCATGTCAAATGCGATCAAGGAGTATATTAAAGGCGAATAGCTGATGCGATAGACGAGTATGCATTGAGGTAGTCTGAGTAATAAATTAATGGAAATAATTTAATATTATTTATTTAGTCAGCAATGTTTGAAACTACCCCCTTGCATGTTTAGAAACCATTTAAAGTATAATCAAATTTTTATATGCGATATCTTTATTCATTATATAAAAGATAGCTCGCCAGCCGAAGACACCAGTTCACAGAGCTGAATTCTCATATTAGCCATAATTAATAATAATCAACAATTAACTAAGATAGTTTTCCAAGAGCCGCAAATTAAGGGGTATCTAGGGAACAGGCCTACTCATATTCATTTAATTTTTTCTGTAATCAAAGTCACTTTTCAGTTGTCAAATTTTGTTTTCAGCTTACGTTCAGTTATTCGTTGGGCAAATTCACAAAAGTCAAGCAAACATATTCTGGCTAGGTAATTGGCAATCGAACTGACCTGCAATGGAGTACATCATGAAAATGGCCGAGGCGGTTGCTCAGCAATCGAAGCAGGAGGAGGAAGAAGGCAGTCGCTTCAAGTCCGTCTTCACCATCAACGGCAAGTCCATTCTGCCGCCCCTGGTAAGTGCTGAAGACAGCTGTGCAGCCCTGAAGATGATTCTCTACTTTCGACTCGCAGATGACGCCTGAGCGCCGCCTGGAGATGCAGCAGCTGCGTCGGGCAGCCATGGCCATAGAGGAGCGCGGACGAGCCGGACGCCAGACGGCAATGTCGCCCAGTGGAGCCACGGAGCAGGTGCAGCAGCCCAGGAGCGCAGCAGTCGCGGATGCCGGCACCAACACCGAGTCGGAATCGGAGCTGGTGCAGCAGCCGCTGACTGTCGTCGGCCGCATCAAGCAGCAGCTGCAGCAGTCGGAGACGCTGATCTACGACAACAAATGCAATGCCATCATCAAGTTCGTCAAGTCCAGCAAATTGCCGGCCAGGCAGCATATTGTGCGCGAGGAGTACTTGGAGATCCGGCCACAGCAGGCAGTGCTTAGAGAGCCGGACTTAATCTGCGGCGTCGTGTTGAGCACCACACTGGAAGCGGCAGAGCCTATGCCCAGCCAGCCAGTGCCAAGCCTTAGAGGCAGCCCTCTGCAACAGCAGGAGCTGGCAGCGAGTGGCTCGGATGCCAGCCCAGTGCAGATAAGTCCGAAAGGCAGTCCGCCACATAAAATTCAGACCATGCGGCAGCTGCTGGGCATCGCGCAGAGGCTGAACTTGTCGATTAACAAGCGGGAACGCGACCTGCTGCAGCGCGCCATCACGAGTCCTGTGCTGCGTTCGCGAGCTGAGACTGCGACGTCCGGCCGCGGCAGCAGCACGGCTCGTGGTGAGCGACTGCATCCCCAGCTGTGGAAACGATATCACTCCTCTGTGGTGGCGGCGGCGGCGACTGCGACTGCGACTGCGACTGCAGTGGCGTCTGAGGAGGCGGCAGCGGTGGAGCTGACCAGCTCAGCGACCGATTGTGCGACAGAATCGCCAAATGTGAGTGTGTCGAGTGCTGCCCTATCGCCTAGCAAGATACAGGTGAAGCAGCAGCACTCGACACCGGAGCAGCGGAACAGCAAGGCCAGCAAGTCCGCGCTGCCCAAGCGGACGAACAGCAGCAAAAGCGACAAGCGGACGCCGCGCGGCCGCAGCACTGTGAGCTACGCGGCGCACGCCTCCTCGCACGCCAATGCCGTGCAGCGGGGCGCCAGCGACAGCAGCACGCGGATCAGCAGCACGCAGCGTCGGCTCAGCTACGATCCGCGTGCCACGCTCAAGCGAGCCGCCCCGCGGAAGGTCGAGTCGAGCAGCAGCTGCGGCACGCTGCCCACGTCCAAGACGTCGCCGTCGAGCAGCAGCAGCGTCAGTCAGGCGCGGGCAGTGCCCAGTGCCGAGTGCAGCACATCGGAGCTGATCAGGCGCAGGCTGCTGGACGAGATGGAGCAGCAGCAACGACAGCGCTTCCAGCAGTTGGTCTCGCAGCAGGCCGAAGAGCAGCAGCGTCTGCAGGCTGAGTTCCAGGTGCAGCAGCAGCAGCTGATGGACCAGATGATTTGTGACATGAGCACGCTCACCTACGACAAGGACGGGCAGTCCGACCAGGCCAACTCGGAGTCCAGTTCGATCAGCTCCCTGCCGCAGAGTCGCCTCGATCTCGAGCTGGACGAACCAGACTCGGCCGACGTCTAGCACCACTAGCACCACTCGCACCACTCGCACCACCAGCACCACTTTTGTATCAAATCCATTAATAAATAATAAAAATCCACATTCGCTTGGGCAACGTAGCCACTAATTCACACATCATAAATGCGATTAATCGCAAATGCTGCCGGCAACGAATGCCAAATTTAGCCACCAACAGCAGTAGCAGGAGTAGGGGCAGGAGTAGGGGCAGCAGCACCGCCTTGGCGCACCGTCTCTAATTATGCTCGGCGTCTGACGTCTGCCGGCATGCCACACAAGTTGCCAGCACGCAGAGGATAGAACTGCCTTCACTTGCCCGCCTGCTTCACCTGCGCTGGCAACTCACGTTGATGTCTCTATACGCCGCGGCACCGGCCATGGGAGCACTTGCTCGCCCATAACTCGGCGTGTTATTAAGTGTAAGAAATTAAAATTTCATAAATTGTTACGCTTTATTTAGAGCTCCAGTCTACCCCTCTCTCTCTCTGCCTCTCTCTCTCACACTCTTAATTGCCCGCCCCGCTCAACTGACGGATGCAGTGCATCGCCGTAGACGCAGCCGTAGCGTGATTTGCGTATTTCGGAAACTTGCAATATTTGGTTTAAAGTGAACGTGGACATAATTAAAAGCACTTAAGTTGGCTTTCGCTTTCACTTCTTGACGCTGGTGGTGCTAGTGGTACTGGGCTGGTGGCTCTCTTGGAGCACCGCCAAATTGGCAGACGCACTGACGATTGCCTCGGCCATTTGAGTGCCTGAAAGTTGCGTGCGGTCTGATCGTGATCGAGCCAATTGGAGTGCAGAGTATGAAACGCTTGAAATACTCAAAATGCTTAAATCAACAGGGCAATGAGCGTGGCAATAGAAGTGGGTTGGATATGCCTCGGAGTCATTAATCTAATCCATTACTTGATTGTAGATAAAAGATAACCCTAAAGACAATTGTATTTAGTAAGAGATCCTCATATACATACATATGTATATCGAATATAATGGAACCAATATATGAATTTATAAAATCTTGAAGACAATTAAATTGTATTTAGTAATAGATTTAAATATATATTAAAAAGTTTGATTTGATTGTATTTAGTAAAGTCTACAATCTATATCTATACATCAAATATAGAGAAAAGTGTTGAAAAAGTTTTAAAACAGTTTGAAGAGGCAGTAATTGTTAAAGAAGGGAAAGGAAACTTTGAAGAAAATGGGAAATGGCTGAAGAATTGGGCGTGTGTTGTCTGGTTAATAAACAGTGCTAAAAATTATTCAGTGACCCCTCAAGGTCACTGACCCCTCAAGGACACTAACCCCTCAAGGACACTAACCCCTCAAGGTCACTGACCACAAGAAAAACATAAATATATGGTGATTAAATAATAAGAAATTGGCAAACATATATAAATATTTATGGAAAATGTTTTCATAAAATTGAGTTGCAAATTGAGTCTAATAAAATGCTATTCAAAACTATTTAAAACTATTTAAATATTTATTACACTAGTGTGCGACTATTTAGGCGCTAACATTGAGATAACATTGAGCAAATGTTATCGCTTCTATTCGCATGGAAGTACTCATAATGTAATTTCGAATAGCACCTCAGTCAAAAAATTTCTATGCACAAACTAATGAAGTTCCAAATAGTTTTGCCTAATCTCGTGTTTTTTCACTTGGCTAATCACAGAAAAGTTCGGAAGAGCAAAAGAGCAATAATTGTGAGGCGAAAATTCAGTGAAAATAATTTCGCGCTTCGTCTGCGAGTTTATTAAATGAACGAGAAGTGCACAAGTAACTGGCATTAGGATTTCATGACTAAAATAAACATAATCAAAGTAATAACTGAGCATTCCAACAGCGCCACCGAGCCCGAACCCGAACCGGGCACATGTGAAATTAATCTTGTTTATGCTGCCAGGAGATGGCTCCAAGGACTCGTGTCGAAACTTGGCGCCCAACCCAGCGCCTGCTGCAAAAGTTTCGCTCGACAAAGTTATTTGAGTAAAAATAAATAGAATCGAATGAGTTCACATTTGGCATGGGTATTGATATAGCTAGGTATACAAACTACATAAACAGATACATATATAGATGTATATTTGTGTGTGGATATACAGTTAGTTTTGATAATTTAATGCGTGTGCCTTGAGCTGTGCATGTGAACATTTAATTGAAATATTTTCAGGCATTTCAATAAAAAAGAGCGCGAGAAACTGCTTTGCATGCAAATGTACAGGCAGTGAGAGTGTATGTGTGTGTGAAAGTATCTCTCTGAGTGTGCGTGTGTGTGCTGTAGGTGTTCAATAGACAAGGCGCAACCCTTGTTGGCTTATCCTGCTGAGCAGCAGAGGCAGCGCCGTCGCCATCGCCGTCGCCGTCGCCATCGCCGTCGCCGTCGCCGTTGCCGTCATCACATAATCTGCTTATTTTGCAACATAAGTGAAAAGTTCTGTCAACAAAATCAAAATCACGAAAAATTTGTTTGCCATTTAAATTCGATTTTGATCCTATTTATCCTGTAAATTGCAGCAATTGAAAGGATTTGCTGCGAGACGGCGAATCGACGACGTCGATAGCTGCCACGGCCAAATCTCCCGTTTGCACTTCAGCAGACTTTTTTTTTGAGGGGGGCAGAGCTTCGCAAGTGTTTGATTTTCAAATTACCTTTTATTGGTATTGCGTGCATGTGTGTGAAAGGGGGCGTATATGCTTGCGAGGGGGGCGTAACGCATGACGTGTGCCGCTGTGACGGTGTGTAAACAGCTCTAACGGTATTAGCGTGCACAGCATATTATTCAAGACGGGATATGGATATGGCCGCAGCTTTAAACAAAGCACTGACCCCGCTGAGCCAGCCAGAGGATATTGAAATTCAATAGCTGTAAAAAGAGGAGACGGAGAGGGAAAGGAGAAAAAGGAAGAACAAGAGCAGAACAAGAATAAGAACAAGAGCAAAAACAAAGCAAACGGAAATCACTTCGTAGACGTCGTAGACAAAGTAGCAAAAGTAGCAAAAGGAAACATGAAATGGAAATTGGCGACTGCGACAAATGGAAATCCCCAAGTGCGGGTCAAAGAAAATAAAACTTTATGCAAATGCGCCACTTTGGCCGTAAAATGAAATAGTCCCTGGCCAAATTATACCTGATGCCTGATGAGCTGACTTGCAATTGCCGTGGATTGAAACAAAAGGGACATCACCCACCCGCCACCCACCCCGTCCACCCCTCGCTGCCGCTGCCCATAAACTTTTGTTTCAACTGCGGCCGTGCGGGGCTCTGGGAACCAGCGCAGGTGACTTTAAGCTGCAAACTTTTGCATTTTACCTACTTTCCACACATTTACATAGTGCGCCCAGCCCTGCCGGGACACACGGCGTCACATTCCGCCACGGAAGTTGTTACGAACACGTTTTGTCGCTGCGGATATGTTCCCTTTACATTTTTCTCCTCTTTTTTTCATTTTTGCCTGGGCCACGGCTCTCATTATGACTGTTATTAAAGAGAGCTGTGCGGAGAGTGCATGTTGAGCACTCTAACACAATGTGTTACACTTGGCAACTTAAGTCGGGTTGATATCGACTATTAGCTATGATGTAGCTAATATGCTACAATCTATACTATGCATATACTCTATACTGTATGTACATAGATTTGCAGCTATTTATCTATCTATTTATCAAATAATAAAATACTTTTCATATAAAAAATATTATATATTATATATTTTGTATACATTACAATAACATTTGATACTTAAAATATATAATATTAGTAAAATATATATTAGATATTTTCTACATCATATTCACACTTTTTTGATAGAGTATTCCATGTTCGACTTGCGCTCGTATTTAATTATTAATATTTTAGCTGTAGTTGCGCTCGTTTCGTCGCTCATTTTTGACCGGAAACGGAAGCCTGTTATTAATTTGCATGTCCGGCGGCGACAGCGCCGGCCACTAGGGCGACCATTGGGCAGTTCCACCTAAGCAGGTGGTTGGTCACATTCCCTTTCCCTTTGGCTAAGCGGCACACGCGGCTCTCTCTCTCTCTCTCTCTCTCTCTCTCTCTTCCAATCTCTCTCTTTCTGTGTGTGGAATGTAGCTAATTAAATTTCGCATGCCCTTGCCGGAGCAGCTACTCTGCTATGCTCTTTCTTGACGTCCTCGCTGTCTTAATTGTGTTTGTGCTGCTCTATTTCAGCAAAGCGCACTCAAAGACAGCTTCACATTTTTTGTCTTCTCTGTTTTGCTCCACTGCCACGCCCACCAAGAGACCAAAGCATTTATGTCTTTGCCCGAGTTTCGCTCTGGCCCGGCCCGGCCTGGTCTGGTCTGGTCTGGTCTTGGGCGCAGCGTCTTAGGTGCTGTTTGCGCTAAAATAATTGAATTAATAATTGCTGCGTGTGGTTTTCATGCTTTTCCAGCTAAGAAAAGCGTACCCCATAAGCCTGAGCCCCGGCCGCAGTCTGAGTAAGTCGTGTGAAACTTTTATCTCTGCCAGCAGCAGCAGCCGCCGCTAACCCAACCGGCTGCCTGGCTGGCAGCAGAGCTCTCCCCCTTCTGCATGCCTTTACTTACACACTGATTTAATAAATTAACGTTAATTAGCTGTTGTGGTCGACGAAAGGAGGGGCGGGGAAGGGGATGCCGCTGCTGCCGCTGCTGCCACTGCTGCTGCTGCTGCTGCTGCTGCTCTGATACTCATGCTGTCTTAGCTTAAAGGACAATAATGCTAAAATCCAACACGCAACGTGGCAACTTTTCCGTTAGTACGTGATTTCCGGCGTACGTTCAAGATTTGCCCGTTCGATATATGAATTATGAGCTGGTGAAGGCAGCTGGGAAAACAAGCAGAACGGAACAGCATCACAGCACGGCAGTATCTCATTCTCCGCCGATAATTCACTAATTGACTCTGCATTCTTCTGCTTCTTATATCTTTGTTTGCCATGTGCGCAAAAGTGTGTTAGCGCTTGTTTGTTCATACCATTTTAATTAGCCAAATGAGCAGCTACTAGAAGTCGATTCTGCTATTTACAGTTACTATACTACAGTAGATGAAACTGAAATGAAAGGCCTTGAACCCTTGGCATGTAA